TTTTGGGATTATAATTATAACATATAATTTGTTAGAAAGTAACATATTTGGCATAATCTCTATGGTTCTGATTAATTATAATATAGGATCGGATTGCATGATTTGCGCCACTGTTTACAATTTCTGGATCAATGATCCGCGTACATTCTCCGTATACACGCTCAGTCAGAACCACGAGACCAAATATATTAAAGTTTCTGAGTGCTACTGTCATCATGCCTTATGCCACCTTTACAGGGCTGGATATACATCACTAGAACCAAAAATAGTTTTTTTTAAAACTATTTTTAGGTAAAAAATTATTAATTTACGGATAAAGAGAATGTTAGAAAACTAGAAATATTTCCCTAGTTTTGTCGACTGGAAGGTTTCCCACGGAACGGAACCTGGAGAAGTATTGAATCAAACTTGAACGGAGTCTCAGTAGTTAGGAACCATCTCCGATACAATACACATCAGTTCTAGATATACCCTGATACCAGTCATACATGTGCATAGATGGGATGTTTGAAAGGGNTGCCGCATGCGAATTTTTACATCAAAACCTTAGAAAATGATAAGTCAAGTCTAAAAAACTGATTTTAACTAATTTCATTTTATTTAAGATAGATTTTTTTTCTGTTTTAAAACATGTCTTCGTTCTTTTACAACTTGACAAGCTATTAAGAAGGTATTTTGTATTTGCATATAATAACAAAAAATCGCCTTTCAATCATAAATAAATGACATTTTTTCCATTCACAAGTTTTTAGGACAAGAAAAATAGCATCAAAAAGGGTGTAAATGTCTGTAAAAACTCAAGATAAAGCATAAAGATATTCAGTTTTCCAAAAATTGAATTTTATAAAACTACACATGCAATCTGGAGTGTGAGTTCAAAGAAATTCTATCTCCATATTGTTACTTTTAGCTCCGAGATCATTTTTAAAAATCGAAGGGAAATGTCAAGTTTATTTGTTTTCAAAATGACAATTTTTTAAATTTGGAGACAATGAGCTGTAAAATATATGTAAAAAATAAAATATTTTTTCCCTTTTTTTTCACTGTTCGTGTCCATCACTTTCATTTTTTACTTCTCTTTATTTTTTTTGTGAGGTCGCTAGAGGCCAGGTTTTAGATATACCCTGATACCATTCATACTATAGTTCTAGATATACCATGATACAATCCATACTAGTTCTAGATATACCCTAATACCATCCATACTAGTTCTAGATATACGCTGACACCATCCATACTAGTTATAGATATACCCTGATACTATCCATACTAGTTCTAGATATACTCTGATACCATCCATACTAGTTCTAGATATACCATGATACCATCCATACTAGTTCTAGATATACCCTGATACCATCCATACTAGCTCTAGATATACCATGATACAATCCATACTAGTTCTAGATAAACCCTGATACCATCCATACTAGTTCTAGATATACCATGATACCATCCATACTAGTTCTAGATATACCCTGATACCATCCATACTAGATCTAGATATACCCTGATATCATCCAGACTTGAACTAAATTTTACTCTGACATCATTCATATAATAGATCTAAACATACTCCGAAATCATCCATTTACTCGTTTTCTAAATATACTCTGACATCATCCATATACTAGATCAAGATTTACTCCGATACCATCCATATACTAGTTCAAGAAAAACTCTGATATCCTTCATATATATAAGCTTTGATATCATCCAGACTAGTTCTAGAGGTTCCATGACAAACTCCTAAAGGAACCAACTTCTTAAATACATACTCTTGAAGAGGCAAACTCCTTGAATACACAATACTGAAAGATAAACTTCTTAAATACTAACACGTACTCCTGAAAGATAAACTTCTTGAATACTAACACGTACTCCTGAAGAGGCAAACTTCTTGAATACTAACACGTACTCCTGAAGAGGCAAACTTCTTAAATACACACTCCTAAAGACAAACTCTTGAATACAAACTGAAACTTTCTACTTCTCTCTGTGCTCGGTCCCTAGTATTCTGTCCGCAGCCCTCAGCCACAGAACCTATCCTAGCCACAGCATCCGGCCACTATGCTAGCTTCAAAAGACCTTACCTAACCGAGAATAAATGAAAAATGTAAATTTCTCCCGAGTTTGATCATTTGTCTTTTCATGGCATATGGCACCGTGCTGGATATACAAAATTGTGTCCAAATAAGTTTTAATATCAAGTGTTCGGATACTTAAAAAAAAAATTACAAAAATGAGCAAAATCTGTTTCTTTGTCAATAATATCGTTTTTCTGATTTTCTTTCCGCATAATTTTGGACACTGGTGTCTGATCTGATTAGGGATCAAGGAGCGGAACAGATATTGTTTCAGGCTCAAGCGCGCCATTCAACCTGCACATACGGACGGATGCAGGAGAACCTGTCTCAATGAATTCATGATTTTACACCTGAGGATTTTCAAATTAAATTTTTGCCAGGTGACGAAATAGGAATCCTACAATCTAATTTACAGCTTGGTAATAATCTATGTTTTGCGAGTAGAGATAGGTTTAGCGGTCGTGACAAAACAAATCAAGAAAAAGGCTTTTTAACCTGATTTTTAATAACTTTAAATTTTTAAATCACTATTTAGCATCTTTGGCATTTTTACTGTTTGTAAAAAAACTGGAAAAACCGCATCTTAAGATTTATTTTAAAAATCTAGAAATGAACCATAAGAAAAAAATTGACCATGTATAAAGATAATAAAGAATGATAAACATTAAAAGCAATTTGCAAAATTTATTATATTATGTAAGAATTTATGCATAGTTTGAAAATATCTATCATGAATTGGAAATCAATAAATAATACGGTTTAAATTATATATCCCATATCTTACGATATTCAAAAAAGACAGTTAAATTATATAGAACAACATAAGAATAACTAAAATATTACAGAAAAGGGGGGGGGTTGGATATAAAGAAAATACTTTTTTATTCAATTAATTGATTCAGTAACAAATGTCAGGGCTTCACAAAGGAATCCTAAACGCGCTACATGTGCTTAGCGAGTGAAGCGAGTCATGAATAATTTTAAATTCAAAGAAATAAAAAAATTAAAATTTTACTTTTTTATGGTTTACGTTATAGTCTTAATAGAAAGTAAGATAGAATGAGTAGACTGTAAAGAGTATCTTCTGTAGATATTTTTTTAACGTAAAAACATATATTCCCCCTTTCTAATACTTCTTCACTTGTTTTTATGCAAACATTGAAAATAGTATTTTCACCTCTTAGATTGATTGAATTAGACAAACCATAAGAGGTTTTTAAAATAATTTGTTTGGGGTAGGGAGAGCTGTATTATTTATTACTCACAAAACAATTTATATTTTGGGTTTGTCGTATAAAACGTTACTTTTATTAACATTATTCTTGTTTTAGACAACGATGTAGAAAAATTGATAAAAAACTTTAATTAATTTACTAAAATAGATTTATTCCTTTATTCCATGAAAATTTCCCTTGTATTCCCCGTGTTCCCAGAGAGGTTCCGATATGCAATTATATTATTATAATTGATCCAGTCCTGCTGGTGTAAGAGTGGTGGTGAGCAATGTGTATGTATACTTGTTCTATGTTCAGGGTACAGGTCTAATTATCAAGTTTTATCAATACCCCAAGGTATTGTCAACTTGTATCCAAGTTACAATTCAATAATTCTTATGTAAAATATTCATATATGGTACCTCGTATATGGTATAATGATCTAAAATATTCATATTTGGTACCTTGTAGTATAAAGATTTAAAATATTCATATTTGGTACCTTGTAGTATAAAGATTTAAAATATTCATATATGGTACCTCGTATATAGTATAATGATCTAAAATATTCATATTTGGTACCTTGTAGTATAAAGATTTAAAATATTCATATATGGTACCT